TGATTTCAGAAATTTCCCGGAGGTCGCCAGCATGTGTGGTGGCCCGCTTGCTTTTGACAATCATGTCATCGACGTATGCCTCCATCGTCCGGCCGAGGACCGTTCTGAAGATCTTAGCCACCATTCTGGTGTAGCTGGCGCTTGAGTTTTTGAGTCCGAAAGCCATGACGAGGTAGCAGAAAATTCCCTCCGGGGTCATAAAGGCTGTCTTCTTGGCGTCATCTTCATGCATGAAATTCTGGTGGTACCCTCTAAAGGCGTCAAGGAACGACATCAACTCGCATCCCGCCGTCTCGTCCACCAATTGATCAATGTTGGGGAGAGGGAACGGGTCCATGGGGCATGCCTTGTTCAGGTCAGTGTAATCAACACACATTCTGAATGTCGGTGGTTTTTGGGCGAGGATGACGTTGGCTAGCCACGTCGGGTACTTCACCTCCTTGATGTGGTTGATTGAGAGGAGCATGGTGACCTCCCCCTTGATGAAGTCCCGCCTGTCGGCGGACAAGTAGCGTCGCTTCTGCTTGACAGGTGCGGAGGCTGGATCGACGGTCAGCCGGTGGGTGATCACCTTCCGGCTGATGCCTAGCATGTCGTCCGGGCCCCACGTGAAGATGATGGAGTATGACCGTAGGACGAGGAGGATGGCGTCTCGCTGGTCCTGCGGGAGTTGCTTCCCAATTTTGAGGACCCGCTCCGGCTGAGAGGTATCCAGGGGGATCTCCTCGACCTCTTCGGCTGGTTCGGCATGTGACCTCTCCTCGTCCTTGGAAACGGTCGCCGTGATGGTGTCTATTCTTTGTCCTTCTCTTTCGGCCGGCTTCGTTAGCTTGAGGTAGCATGCCCTGGCTATCCTCTGGTTTCCTCTGGCGTAGCCGATGCCGCCACTGGTGAGGAACTTCAAGCATAAGTGCTTCATGGAGATGATGGCCTCCAGGTCCTCCAGTGCTGGCCGCCCCCAAATCAGGTTATGGGCGCACTGAAGGTTGACCACCATGAACTCCATGTTAATTTTGGTGCGGTGGGAGCCGTCGCCGACCTCCACGGGGAGGACTATCGTGCCTTCGGCGTCGATAGAGTCCCCGGTGAAACCGGACAACGGTGTCTTGATCGGCTTCAGTAGAGCTTTGTCCAGCTTCAGTTGCTTGAAGGTGTCCAAGTACATCACGTTGACAGAACTCCCTGTATCGATGTAAGTGCGGTGGATGATGGAATTACCGATCTCACACCGGATGACGAGGGCGTCCCTGTGTGACTCCGTACCTGGAGGCAGATCCTTGTCAGTGAAGGTGATCGCCTCAGTTCGTTGCTTCTTCGGCTGGGGGGAACGTGGGACACCTCCCCTATGTAAAGGGATTGGGCCCATTTCTTCCTCTGGGTGACGGAGTCCCCCATGGTGTTCCCACCTACGATGAGGTGAATGTGGTTCTTCTTCGGTGGAGGCTCCTCAAAGTCTTTGTCGTTGCTGAGCCTACCGATCTCCCGCTTCTTCGTAGAGGGTTCGCCCCCAGATTTGCCGGTGTTTACCCACGTATTTTTGCGCGGGCCACCTTTAACAAATTGGGAGAGTTCCCCCTGACAAATCAGGCGCTCAATGGCTTTCTTCAGCGTGATGTAGTCGTCGGTGTTGTGTGAGGTGTTCTTGTGGAACCGACAGTAGGTACCGCCTTGCTGGATGGCATGGACTTCCTATGTCGGCCGAGGAGCTTGTTCAATGAGGCTGTGCTTCTCGGCATAGTCGAGGATGGTGCTGACCGGGTGTGTGAGGGGGACCCCCGGCCGTTCCAACCTCGGCCGCCAATGGCGGTCTTTCTTGTTTTGTCCACCAGAGCCGTGACGGCCATGGGCACCCTGGCCGGTCGGGGATGCTCCTGGGGCTGGCGAAGGATTTGTCTTCTTGGAGGTGTGGCCTCCGTCCTTCTTGTGGTTGTGGAGCTCGTCGGCATCGGCGTACAAACTCCCGCGCTGAAGCGCCTTTGCATACGACCTCAGAGGGTCGGTGATGAGGCTCCTGGCATACGGGGAGCTGCGGAGGGCTCCCTGGTAGAGGACGAGGAGGGTGCGCTCATCGGCCCCCTCGACCTCTTTGGTCTCCCTCATCCACCGATCACTGAATGACCGGAGGGATTCGTCATGTTGCTGCTTGACGGAGAGGAGATGGGTGAAGTACTTCTTCGCCCGTTTCCTCCCAGCAAAGTGAGTGAGGAAGCGTTGGGCAAGGTCCTGCCATGAGTCTATACTTCCTTCGGGGAGCGCGTTGAACCAATCATACGCCGGTCCCTCAAGATTGGAGAGGAACCAACGGCAGAGGTATTCATCCGACGTGTTCACCATCAACATGTTGTTCTGGTAACGCCTGAAGTGCTCCTAGGGATCGGAGCGGCCGTCGTAGGTCTTGATGGCGTTTCCCATGTACTTCTCCGGGATGGGAGCCGAGAGCACCCTGTTTGTGAAGGGAGTCCTGGTCCTGACCTGGATGACAGGGTCACCTCGTCCTTCAGCCAATTCCCTCTCAAGGGTGCTGACCTTGTTCATGAGTGCATTGAGGCCGGGGTCATTGGAGGCACCGGCCGTGGGAATGTTCGCCGACTGTCTGGCCTCCATCTGGGCCAGTCTCCTTTCCAGCTGGGCGATGACCTCGTCCCGAGGGTCCCTGGCGGCCGCAGTGGCGCCCTGTTGGTTCTGCATGTGCACCTCGTGGGCCACGTTGATCTGGTGGCGCACGTCGTCCTCGTGCAGCTTTCCCTTGCCTTTGTTCAGGTGGGGCTGGTCCGTTGTCCGGGACACAGACCCCGGGCTTTCCCTTGGCGAGCCAGACCGGCACTCACCAATCCGTCCCGCCATCCTCTCCGAAACCGGACGACGGCGCGTGTCACCCAGCCTATTGAAGGCAGAGGCTTTTCCACGCGCTGGGGTCGGTCCGGACCGAAGAGGGGAAGCAGGGTGGGAGTGGGACGACGCCGTGTCCTGGGCTATCACCTCCTCATCGTTGCCTAGCTTGACGGCCAACGGTTGGGGCTGAGGAGGTGGAGTGATGTTCCCCACCAGTCCTTGGCATTAGTGCGCTGAGGACGGTGGGGTTCTGAGCCAAGCTGGCGATGATGACCGACAGTGCGGCCTGAACCTGTGGGTCAACAGACGGAGAAGCTGTGGCCAACGGTTGGGCCGAGGCGTTGTCTGCTTTCTCTGCGCGCTTCTTATCCAGGCCGATGCAGGCATCAGGGGCGCCGCCGTTGAGCTGGTTGCGCAGGTCCGCCGTGAGGTTGCTGGCCTCCTGGAAGACGTCCCCTCCTCCGACCTGGTCGGCCGTGGCGTCCTCCTCACGCTCCCTATTCTCCTGATCCTCAAGGATGGCCTTGCTGACGAGGTTGCGGTTTGACCTAGTTCTTCCCATGATCAGTGGTTAGCTGTGCTTGGTAGCGACGAAGGATGCTAACTTGATTGTTCTAGCTCTCAATGAAAGCACCAAATGATAGAGTATATTCTAGAGAGAAGTGAGAGCTAGAGAGAGAAGTGCAAGTAAATGCTTCAATGAATGATTTTCCAACCCCTACAACTACCTCCAGAGGAAGTATTTATAGGGAAAATACGGGCTGGGCTCCCAAGCCTTGGGCTTGGGAGGCCCATTTACAACTGGACCGCTATTGGGTCGAATACAATGTGTGTAGAAATGATTAAGCGTAAAATCTAGTTCTGTGAGGCTTCCGTGGCCGACGAGGGTCTGGCCGACGAGGGCACGGCCGATGAGGGCACGGCCGACGAGGGCACCCAAGTTCCCTGGCTTCAGGATCATATTCTAAGTTGGTCCCTCTTCGGCCGTCGGGGGTCCTTTGGCCGACGAGGGCACCACTTGGTGGTTTGTACCTTCTGTTCTTCTGAGTATGTGGGTCCTGGGGCCTAGACCCATATACTCCATCAATCGTACTCCTATGCACGTATCCGTGCAATAGCTAATGGGTGGTTTAATTTGAAAAAGGCTAGCAAATAGCCACTAGCTAATGTGGGTGTTTGGTTAAGAGCCTATCAGCCATTTTTTGGCTGATTTGATCAATATTTGGCTTTTTGACCAAATCAATCAGCTAATTAAGTGTTTGGTTAATTGGATTTTTTGTTTGACTTTTTATCCCAAACAACTAAAATATGAAATGCTATCAAACCCGGCGTTTAGGAGCGGCTGTTTATTGATTTTTCCTATTTTCCGTTACTGCTCAGGCTTCCTTTTGCGTATATACCTCCCTTCCACAAAAACCCTCTAGAAGTCTAATAAATGTTATGACGAAGAGAAATTTTTTTATGTTATAATCATAACAGCAATAATAATAATAACATGTTATTTGAAAGAGTTCGAAGATTTGTGTATTTAATAAAATATACTATGTACATTTTTTATGTTATAATGATAACAACAATAATAATATTAATAATAATAGTATATTTATAATTCTAGAAAGACCGAGAAAGAATGTTACGTGAAGGATGTAAAACAAATTTTACATTTTTAAATAAAAAATTGGTTTAGGCACTTGCATGGATTACATGAATTAAAAATTTACTAATGTCCTTAATAGTAATTTGACAAGTTAACAGCTGATTGTAAATAATCATTTAATCAAACATCATTTTACAAACTGATATTAATATCAACTAATAATCAAAACAGCTAACTAAATCTGCCGTTATCAATCGCCTAACTGCCAAACACCCGATAGGATACTCTTTTACATAGTAATATTTTCAGAAAACGAAGTATACCTAATATGCGGGTGTTTTGTTTTTACTTTTTAATTGTTAGATTGACCTCTAATCTTGGAGGCTTGGAGCTAGTTGAATATTAGATTCGGCCAATATCAATATTATCGAAGGCGCTCTTAAATTTTCTGTTTAAGATTTTGCCCAAAAAAAATCTATTTAAGAGGGCTAATTGATTCATGCTACTACGCATTAAAAATAGAAATTGCTTGTTATAGAATACGGAATATAAACATGAATGAATGGATACTAGAGGATACAAGATAAGAGGATACTAGATTAATGAATGGATAGATATTTAAAATGAACAAAAGTAATGCTGTAGAAATCAATCTATCTATATATATACTACGGAGTATATAATAATGAAAAATTGATTGTGGGAGGTTATACAATAAAAACAGAAATGCATATTTACAGGGCATCATAGCTACCAAGAACATCATCCTCGTCCATATCGAAAGAAGTAAAGTTAAGAAACAAATCCATCGGAAATATCGCGTCCAATTGCTCATCCACCTGAGACTCCGAGCTCGTCGGCGACTCATCATCGACGGCCGGACTCGCCATCATCGGGACCTGAAAGAAAGAAGTCGGCGGCGGCGAACGGTCATGATCATCATCATAATCTCCCAGGAATATATCATCCGAAAAATCGGTGGCGCCGTTGGTCTCCATGATCCGGGCTATGTCAGAGTGGCGTCCGGTAAGCTGCTGGACAAGCGACCGGAACCTGGACGCGCTCGTCTTCACTTTCATAGGCGACGAAATGTAAACCACCTTCACCTCCTTCGTTTTCCTCTGTCTTTTCTTGTCCCGCTGCTGCTTCGCAAACCCGCCTCCGCCGCAAATCGATTTCTGAAACTCCATTCTTACTCCGGCCGGCCGCCTAAGCTCTGTTTTGTCTCTTCTCTGCCACACACTTTCTTGGATCTCTGAAACTGGAGTACGGTTTGATTTTTCAAGTGTTGGGAAATTGGGCAACTTGGAGGAGGTATATATAGCCCGCCACCCATATGTTGGGCGGCACGTATTTTGGTAGATTAAGAACCGAGATGGCTGCTTCCAGGAAACGGACGATTGAAAAGAAATTTGGAAGGAAAAAGGGCTATTTTATCTAGTCTTGAAAATACTCGCTATAGTTGAATAGAAAATGATGAATGCATAGATACCAGTTCACACTTGAAACCTCCTCTAGTTGAAATAGCCATAGGCGTGATATGACATTTTGGGTGTTTGAATTCACTCATTGAAACTTTTTCTACGGAGAAATCAAAAACACATATCGGAATGTGCAGATGAAAGTTAAAAATTAGACTTATGAATTTAGTGGCGGACATAAAAGTTTTGTGAGCACTGCCACATAGATGGGTAAGTCAGATTGGGTCGAGTGTATAAGTGGTCTATTGTCTAGTTCATTCAAATCATTAATTTTAATTAGAAACAAATTATTCAATGACAAATTCAAGAGATATACATCTGAATTATAGGTTTAGTTCTGAATCCAATAAACAGATCTAAACAATAATCTTGGGTTTTATGAAGGAAAGACATAATTTGAATTAAAATAACTCATCTTGTCGTTGTTTCGGGTATTGGATTCCACTTCTCGTTATTTTTCATACTGATCATGATTACAGTTTTAAACTAAGATCATGTCGAACGCTACATGTCGCGCCACAAAATTTAGTAGCTACTTGTTTCATATATAATTATATCGTATCCAAAAATGAAGTATGATTCAAGTTTGTTATTACACCCTCCAACACAACTTTATTTAATAATATGATTTTTTGATCGAATTTTTATCATATTGCAGTACGAAATATTGAAGGTCTGCCGGTCCAACACCATGTATTTTTTCATGTATGATTTTTATTTAAGACATGAATCCTCAATTTATTAAACTCATCCCACATGTTAGAAGCTTTATGATATCTTTGACCTCTAATTTTGGACAAACATTATTCATACTTTGCCAAAAAATCATCAATGTCAATTTTATAAACAATATATATAGTGACCATGTTAACAACACGTCTAACTGCAAGGAATTGGTCGACTACAACTTCGTGATCATTTACATTTCACATTGCATTTGTTATATGTTTTGCGACAAAACCATCCCTATACATTATATGTCGTAGTTTTTTTGGATATGGGGGAACAAGTTTTTATCATAAGTAGTAATACTAAATTTCAAAGTCGGAAGCGGGGGCACGTGCCCCCCAGGACCCCCCTAAGTCCTCCACTGCTTACGATTGCTTCAAATTGCTCATAGAAGTTGTTATTTAAAGTTGAGGAGACGACCCTCTCATATTTTCATTTCGCTTCTTCTTTTCAAAAAGAAACAAAAACAAAATGAATTTCAAGCATCTCGTTTATTAGATCCTGACAATGTAACTAATAGGTGACTCATTTACACGTAATATTATGTTTCTTTTTTGTTGCAATATTCTTGAATTTACTTTATTCACATATTCTATTTTGATTAACTTTTATTTATTAATGTATTCTAAATTTAATATTTGAAAAATATTGTTAAATTTCTTTCATTCTGAATTTTTTAAATCTGATTTAAAAAAAAAATAGTAATACGGAAGGAAATATATTAATCATCAAAAATGTGTATATGCAAACGTGAAAATTGAAAATTGTAACTAAAAAGAATAGAAGAAATATTACACTTTTCAAAAAGGTAGTCTTTTATTTATATTCGCTTTCTCTTTGATGCCTCCCATCTAAACCACATTTATGAATTATAGAAAAATATTAGTGTTCTAGTAGTTCTTATGATATGATCATCAAGTCATCATAAAAAAATAAGGATATCCTTGAATCTGCCTCTGATTCTCCTTCAAAGTCTTGTTTCTCTCCCACGAAAGACAGTCCTCTAATGTTATGATTAGCATGTAGAATCACGGACTGTTGAGAATATTTTATGGTGTCCAATCTAGTTAAATATTTTTGTATTTGTGTAGTTATTAATTAAATGTGTAGTATGGGCCACAAATTTATATCAGCCCGTTAGCTTCTTTGTAACCCATAAGTTAGCCATCCTCTCTTATAAAAGGAGACTAACTTACGGGAAACCTAAGGTTTGAAGTTTGAGAGTGCATAGAGGCGAGATAGAGATATTAGGTTTCCGCTGCTCTCTCTCTCTCTCGAGGGAGAGCAGCGGTGTTCTACACGGTATACAAGATTCGTTTGTTCATCTCATATCTTTCTATTTGCTTCTTCTTATCTGCTATGATTGTGTGATTGTTAGTAAAATGGGTTTATCAATTGGTATCAGAGCCGAGGCGTGAAAAAGATTGAATCTGTCTGCGGTTTTTCGAGCTCCAACGAAGAACTGCTCTGCTTTTCTTCTCTTTTTCTTTAATATAGAGATTTGCTCCTGTAATCTTGTTTATGAAAGAAAATCTGTAAAAATTATACTGTTGGAATCGCCTTTCAAAACCGATCCGGCAACATATCTTCTTTTTCGTTTTCTGCATTTTTTCACTTTCAAAGATCTCTATATTGAGATCTCGAGATTCTTATTTTTCACTGCTGCAGAAACGATTTTTACTTGAAACTAATACAAGAGAATCTCGACCTTCAGGACTATTCAGAGCAGTTTTCAGATTTTCAAAAATCAAAATTTTCATTTTGCAGGATCTCGATATTTTTGGGATTTCGAACTTGGGATTTTGACACATGGGATCTCGATGTTTAGGATCTCGACATTTTCAAGATTTCGAGATTTTTAAAATTTTTTGATGTTTTGAATGTTCCAAAGTTTGCAGTTTCTTGAAACTCATATTTTTTCAAAGCTTGACATTCTTCGCAGTTCATCGAAGCTTTACATTATAGGATCTTTGGATGAATCTCTGCTTTTCAAAGTTTTTACGAAGTTTTCGATGTTCTGATGTTTTTCAAACAGCAAGTTTTCGATACTATGAGGTTTTTGAAACTCCAAAGTTTTCGATGTACCAAACAACTTGAAATTCTGAAGATTTCGAAGTCTCAAGGTTTGTTTTGCAGGTGGATTTCACCATTATTCTTTGAGGTAAACTCGAGATTAAGATCTCGATGTTTAAACCTCGAGATTGTGATCTCGAAGTTTAAACCTCGAGATTGTGATCTCGAAGTTTAAACCTCGAGATTGTGATCTCGAAGTTTAAACCTCGAGATTGTGATCTCGAGATTTAAACCTCGAGATTGTGATCTCGAGATTTAAACCTCGAGATTGTGATCTCGAGATTTAAACCTCGAGATTGTGATCTCGAGATTTAAACCTCGAGATTGTGATCTCGAAGTTTAAACCTCGAGATTGTGATCTCGAGATTTAAAACTCGAGATTGTAATCTTCAAGTTTAAACCTCGAGATTAGGATTTTGAGGTATTGCCTTAGAATTTTCCTTAATCCCACCTGTTCTCGATATTCAACATCGAGATCCTCAACTTCGAAGAAATTCCTCAAAAACTCAAAATTTCGAGATTTTCAGCGACATCACCCTGTTTTGACCATAACTTTTGACTCGGTGATCCGATTTAAGCAAACTTTTTTGTTGGAAAGCTAACGAAAAGATATACATGAATTCTAGGGGTTTACCCCAGAACCCTTTTTCACGCGCCCTCACGCGCAGTCCTTGAGGGCCAAATCGTTCATTTTTCGACAAACTTTGTAAATCACCGATGTCAAGGTCAAATTTAGGCAAATTTGTTCAAATTCTTCCAAAGTCAAACCTAAGGTCAAAGCTTTTCTAAGCTACACTGCAGAGGTCCGAAAATCATAGATAATTCAATCAACCTCGCGTCAACGGTCATCTTACAACAATCAACAATCAACCACTGAAGCCTCCCATATCTATCAACATTGTGTGATCCTCAAATATGCTGAAATTCTACATGATGAACTTAGGGATACCGTCATGTGTGGTACTTGTTCAGATTGCTCCACACACATGGCGGGTATGATGAGCTGTGAGCAATCAAACCTTGCACATTCTGAGGGGCAGTTTCAGTTTTAACCTCCTGGCGCCTTACAACGACAAAGTAAGGAATCTCTCAAAGGATGAAACATTTTAGGGGGAGTGTTCAATGTTATCCTTCCCGGTGCCTAACAATGACAAAGCATACCGAGTGCTCCAGTTGAGGAGGGGTACAGAGAGAAAATCAAGAAAGTAATGAGAGAACATGTCCCTATGGCTTAGTAAACCCAACTAAGCCTACCCAAGGGACAAAGCCGAGCGTAACTGAGTGAGTGAGCGAGTGAGTGAGTGAGTGAACATTATGAGCATTAGGAAGTAGAAGGCTCAATTGAGCAAGGAAACAATAATCAATGATAAGTTTGCTACCTCAACTGCCTGCTATCAATTGAACATTTACTCCTAGCCACTCAAATACTCTGGACAATCCCCATAGGTTCAGGACTGATTTAATCAGATCCCGGGTAGAAGTCACTTCATCTTATCCAACAGTGCATGCTTAACCCTATCCAAGATCACTCACTTGTCTCCCAACAGACAGGTGTTTAATCATATTTCACGAGGAATCGCGTCTCTCATTACTGTCTCCTTCTGAGGCAAGTGATACTGACTACAGTGGCCTCAGCCCCATGCCACTGACCTTTCATTGATCACGTTGTGTCTAGTAACATCACTCCCAAATATTTTTGAAATTTTCTAGGACACAGACGCACTTTTTGATTCAGTTGCAGGTCTACATGACCCGCGAGAACTTCCATAGGGCTCATCTATTACATATGTAGACCAATGATTGGAAGGAAGTCCTGTTGTTGCAACATAAGAATCACCAACATTTTCAGGCCATCGCTTCAAAGTTTATCTCTATAGTGATAATAACGAGCATCTTCGCGAACCACGGGGGGCTACATTATCTTTGCTGACCTTTATGGTCATGCCATAACAACCAGAGTGACATCTTTTCGGATGTTTCACAATGACTGGTTGGAAGTCCTGTTAGAGCTTAATAATGCTTCTATCATTATATACAGGCCACACATCGATGTTTACATTGATGTTGTGTTAACGGAACACATCAGTGTATCCGGTTTTTGCATTTCAACATTCAGCTTGTTTTTTATGTTTTATTTCCGCAGAATAAAAGAATAAAGGCATGACGCCCCGATTCATCGGACCGTCATGAGGGGGAGAGTGTTCCACATGCTGTTTAACTCTCAAAAATCATTCACGAACACGTCACTCCTCCGACACTCTCTCTACTATCTCTGCAACTCAAATGGTCAGCTACGCTTACAAGTCAACCATCATTATGTTCCGATGTGCCACCGATAAGTTCTCCTCAAATGCATTCATTCCAAATAGTCAAAAAGACTACATTGTGGAGGAGACAGGGGTCAAATACTCGTGTACTGAAGATGATTCCCGTGCGCCCCTGATAATCATCAGAACATTCATTCTAGAGGCGTCACCGGACTTCATCCAAGCTGATCAAGAGCAACATCTGGAAGGCAAGGATTACAAGAAAAAGATTCCTCAAACCCATCATCAAAGATCAAATTGCCAAGAAAACATCAAAGGGGAGATTGCGAGGATTTCTTCAACCACCATCAGGCGTTTTTCATCCTTGTGGTTCAGATAGACTACTGCAGGTGGAGTGAAGAAGATGTGGTATGCAGGGAAGTCTTCAAGCTCCGGACCGTACAGTTTCGGCTGAGATAGATTCGCTTTTGGGATATTATTCTCTAGAGCCATTTGGAAGTCATGAGAAGCGTTGACTCGGACTTGTCTCAGCATGAACTGCTTGATTGCTTCAAAACCTTCTTTGTAAGTTCGATTGTTTCTGACCGGTAGGTATCTGTACGCCATAAACATCCCATAGATATCATCCATTTTGAGCATTATGAAGTCATTTTCTTGGCATACAAATTCACCACCGTCAGTGCGCTGGACTTTGTAGGAGTAGAATCGGATTGTATGACGATCTTCGGCTTTGACTTGTAGTATTGCATGAACAGGATGTGTACTAGACTTCAGATCTTTTTCCAAAAGTTGTCGTTGAGGCCCTAAAGATCTATGAAGTAGCATGTGTAGGTGACCTCTTGCTTCTTTTCCTTTCAAAGGTGTAAGTCCGCGCATCCTCAGTTCTCTTAAAGGTCTAACCTTCTCCGGTTTACGCCAGACACGCTTTCTGAGTTCCTCTTGGAAGGGGGCTTTGATTCTAACGTTCTCCCAAGGTTTCTCATTCTTGGGAAGTCGTCCCGCCGTTTGTCTGATTATTGATTCCAATTCCTTGCGAGTTTCTTTAAAATTTTCCCCTTCTTTGAGTTCCTCTTCATCAAGCCGGATGATGTCTGCTGCACATTTGGCGATTAGTTCTCGCAAGTACCAGCTCCGCTGCATGTCCTCAGTTTCTTCGTCACTACGAATTTGATCTCACTCCGTCCATTTCTTAGGCCACTTGTCATGTATAATGATATCTTCAAGTTCATCATGCATTGCCTCTGATGAAGGAGTGGTAGGAGCTGGTTGACTTGGTGGTTTCGGGGACCTGTGCTCTAGAACATCGGGATCACGAGGATTCCTGTTGTCATCAAGTTTGAACTATGTTCTGATCGATGGCCTGATTGTGAGGATGTACCAGAGGTAACATCAACAAGACTTCCATCCCCTCCTCGAATAGTATCTTTCGGAGATACACCTTGGGATGTTTCGTCTAGCTCGACCAGGCTAGATAGGTTGGCTAGGTTTCAGTTTTGACTGGAAGCGGGTGGCTGTTGGTTGGTTGAGGATTCGGGTTGATCGGGTTGTGGAGGTTGGCTGGTTCTCATCAGTTTTTCGAACTTGTTGCACAAGCGGGGATTTGAAGAAGCAAATATAATGTCATCGACATAGATCTGAATCAGTATGATATCAGTCTTATGTCACTTGATAAAGAGTGTCGTATCTCTCTTTCCTTTTGAGAAGACTGAATCAATCAGAAATTCAGTTAAAGAATCATACCAGGCCGTCGGTGCCTGCTTCAATCCATAAAGTGTTCCACGTGCTGTTTAACTCTCAAAATCATTTTGGGACACTTCTTTCCTCCAACACTCTCTACTATCTCCGCAACTCAAATGGTCAGCTACGCTTACAAGTCAACCATCATTATGTTCCATCATTATGTTCCGCTGTGCCACCGACAAGTTCTCCTCAAATGCATTCATTCCAAATAGTCAAAAAGACTACATTGTGGAGGAGACAAAGGTCAAATACTCGTGTACTGAAGATGAATCTCGTGCGCCCCTGATAATCATCAGAACATTCATTCTAGAGGCGTCACCGGACTTCATCCAAGCTAATCAAGAGCAATTTCTGGAAGGCAAGGATTACAAGAAAAAGATTCCTCAAACCCCATCATCAAAGATCAAATTGCCAAGAAAACATCAAAGGGGAGATTGCGAGGATTTCTTGAACCACTATCAGACGTTCTCAAGAAGTCAAGTTCAAAGACAAAGGAAGCTCCATAACAATAAAGACAAAGATATCCGTGCTGCAATGTTGATTCAACACGATTGAACACCAAGGGGGAGATTGTTGCACTACTAGAAAAATAGTTATTTGATGCGGTCATTTTTAACTATTTGCTGCGGTTTTGAACTGCAGCAATTGGCGAAGCAGCAAATTGTAGGAAGACGTGTTTGCTGCGATTCAGAACCGCGGCAAATAGCTATTTTAAAAAAAAAACAAAATTTGACTTGTTTCCGCGGTTCGGAACCGCATCAAATAGCTATTTTAAAAAAAATAAATTTTTGACCTATTGCTGCGGTTCAGAACCGCACAAATAGTATGATTTTTTTATTTTATTTTTTCAACAAAAAATATTAGAAAAAGAAAGCTAAAATTGTAATATTTATTTTTGTTTTGTTCTACTACCCAAATGGCCAAGTTTACAAACATGGTGTTTCAAATCAAAACATATGCTATTTATAAAATAAGAAACATTCAAATTACAACAAGAGCATCTTACAACACAAACCAAAACCATAATTCCATAAGAACTAAGGTATACATCACCAAAGTTCACTATGCATACAATAGAAATCATCATCTTTTAAAGTTTATAAAAAACTAATACGTAGTAGTTTACAATAAATTGTCACACACTTGTATCACCAATGCATCGCAAGCTTCATACACTTCATCTCTCGACAAAGATTGATCTCTTCCGATACTCCAATAAACCTAAAATATTAAAAACACATAATTAGAGAAACACATATGTCACTACAAGCAAACTGACATTTTATGATAGACAAAAAGTGTCAAGAATAAAAGTGAAAGTGTCAAGATAGACCGCTTGAAGGATTTACCAACACACAAAAAAAGTGTCACTAGGAACATTGCGGGGACGTCAATGTTCACCGGGCTGCTCTTTTATTTTGTTCCATACAATTCCATGGGTTTGAAATATCTTCTGAATGTCAACTGCAAATATTATTGCAGGTCATTGATGAAACAAGCTCTGAAGAGCGGAATTTGAAGAGTCAAAGTGTGTGGTTTATGATGGAAAATAAAAAGCTTGAAAACAAAGCTCACGTCTATTCCATCCCCCATAGCTTCTTTAATCTTCTCTATTTCGGCACCCACATCCTGATCAAGTCATCCAACCCTATTAGATATGCCCTGAGCCTTACTCAAATATAATGGACCTACTTGAAGTAATGGCATCAAACTCAGCCATCATGCATGTAGCTACTGAAGTACTGAACTACTTTACTGGACCAATTAGATGATAACTAGATTTACAAGTATACCAGTTCCAATATGGCAACGCCGTTATGTTTGTTTAACAAACATGCCCCCACACCCTAAAAGTGTTTTGAAAAAGGGCAGCTAATTAGATGGAAGCAGAAACCTGGATACTAGTTGAGACTTTGATGGCCTCGTTTGCTCCAAGCTCCATTGCAACAGAAAGACAGGCCTGATCCACGTCGGCCATAATGATTCTTGGGGCTCCAAAAGCACGTGCTGCCAGCATTGTGATAAGACCTATAGGTCCTGCTCCCATAACCAGAACTCTCGTCTCTGGACCAATGTTTGCTCGACGGCACGCATGAACACCGACACTTAGAGGTTCACACATTACCCCTTCCTCCATACTCAATTCATCCGGTAGTTTGAAGCATAAATGTGCAGGATGCACAATCTGTTTGAAAATACAAAAAGCATTGGGTTTGAAAATAAATTTTAAAAAATGGTAGAATCTAGGACTAATCTATTAGTCCATTTATTTTTATTTTGCCATTGTGGGACTAACAAAAAACAATGCTCCTTCTTCCATATTCATCAAATTAAATACGTTATGAAGTTATGATCTACCTGATTGGCTAGAGAGCCATGGTAGCAAAAAACTTCATATCTGGGCACAAATTGTATCTTCCTTCTTTGCATAGATCACATCGCCAACAACTGATTCCGGGTTCTAAAGCGACCCGGTCACCGGGAACTAGTGTCCGGACTTCACTCCCCACCTCTTCTATCACTCCAGCACACTCATGCCCGATGACCATCGGTTCTTTCACAACAAAACCAGCACATCTCATATGCTACATTCAAATTCAAGTTCAAGCCCTTAAGACAACAAAAGCATTCATTCGTGATCAGGAAAATAATGAAAACAATGTAGACATGTTCTAGGAAATACAAAGCAGGCCTTTGAAAACCCTTTACCAATAGTCTTCAAGCATATTTACAAACATAGACATAGATATTCCAATAATTAACCAATTAATAATATTATAAATATGTCTACTTTTACTAATTTAGTCATAACCTCACACAAACATCAATATTGATTTTAGAAGTAAAATAGAAAATAGGAAAACAAAAAATCATACCCAGTTAGACTGTTAAACTTAAGCTTAGAAGTACATACTTCATGACTTGGTCATAAATAAGTACTCATGGAGTACGGTACCTACTCATGGGGAAATGGAGACAATAGAAATGGAAATAAGCCAGAATACATGTTTATCATCCTTTCCAAAAACAATTTAAACATGATTAACTCCAAATCAATTATAATATTACTACTCTAAGCTTTACTGAAAAACTTAAAGCATCACATTATACTACTACTAAGTGAATAAGATAATTCTTCTTATGTATACATAGTTGTTCCAACATAAGTGTAAAGCTCAACTTCTAAATTCAATGAATACAAATGAAAAGTACTTAAATTACATAAAAGTTTATGGATCCAAAATAAAAGAAGTAAAGCTGCACACATTCAAACATATATATGTGATGGTACTAAGTCGCATAAGTTCAATCCCACCAATTGACAAGTCTAACTATGCTCTCTACCAATTTCCATGGCAATATGGCATAGGCTATAAATTAATATGAGTACGGTAGTACATGATAGGTTTCTTAATGTAGACAAATATGAGTTTTTACTAAAATATTATAGAATACAGAATACTTAAATACTACCTAAAAGTATGGAGTATAAAAATATGACCTTCTCCATAAACATAAGTACTAATATCCAAATAATAACATTATAAAAATGTCTATTTTTATTAATTCAACTTACACACAATAATTTGAAAAAAACATACTCATCAATTTCATCCTAACATAAGTATCAATACCAGTAGATAGGAATTATTAAATGGATATAAATTCAAAGAACTTTGATGTACTCACTTAAAAATTCAATGACCTTCTTTGAGGCGTAGTGGAGCTTGCAGAGGGCGGTGTGGCGAGGAGTGGTCGGGATTCATGGAAGCCGCTCGAAGGGGAGTCAACGTTTTGAGGGAGGACTGGATGCGGCGTCAACGAAGACCTGAGGCAGCGGCAGCGGCGAGGAGATGCGGCGGCGTCTACGATGACCTGCGGCTGCGGCGCTAAGACGTCAGCCGAAAGTGTTGATCGAGTGACCTGGGGCTGGGATTTTGGGAGGGTAAGTGGAACAGATTGAGTGAAGGGGAAGCCGAGACTAATAAGGGGAGGGTGTATTTGTTGCGGTTCTTGACTGGCCGCAGCTAATAGGTATGAAAATTAGTGTATTTGCTGCGATTCCCATATACGAAGCAAAAAAAATCAAAAAAAAAATTAAATTTGGAAATTTATAAGTATTTGCTGCGGTTCCTACGTGACCGTAGCAAAAAGTATCAAAATTTGATACTTTTTGCTGCGGTCGTGGTAGAACCGCAGCTAATACTTATGAATTTTACTTATTTGCTGCGTTTTTACTTAGAATCGCAGAAAATGGGTAGCAGCAAATAAGGAAAATTCTAATAGTGTTGAGAATATTTTATGGTGTCCAATCTAATTAAATATCTTTGTATTTGTGTAGTTATTAATTAAATATGTAGTATGAGCCACAAATGTATATCAACCCGTTAGCTTCTTTGTAACTCATAAGTTAGTCATCTCTCCTATAAAAGGAGGCTAACTTACGGGAAACCTAAGGTTTGAGCCTTTGAGGTTTGAGAGTGCATAGAGGCGAGATAGAGAGATTAGGTTTCCGCTACTCTCTCTCGAGGGAGAGCAGCGGCGTTCTACACGGTATACCAGATTCATTTGTTCATCTCATATCTTTCTATCTGCTTCTTCATATCTACTATGATTGTGTGATTGTTAGAAACTGGGTTTATCACGGACGGAGGCAGCAGTTCAAGTCAAGGGGGTGAATTTTTTCATTAGTGTATGGAGTGATTTGGTTTTGCCAATGTAGCAGGGCGAATTTCCCCCGTTGGTGTAGGGTTCTACGACTATTATATTTTTTTATTCAAAAAATTCCATTAATACATACACAATGGCATTTAAATAATTACATTCTAAATTTAGACATGAAAAAAAAACTTTGATTTTATAATTGAAGTGCTCTAAAAAAACTATTGATACATTAAAGCGTAAGAAGTGACAAATAATATGAAAATTAATTGAAAAAAGGGATATGTAACATTTTATCAAATTATATGAAGATAAAGAGTTTAATTTGTACACATCCACTAATATTTTTGAAATAACTTATGTCTTGTTTAACCACATGGACCTTAGCAGAATAATGAATTGGTTTTTGAATTGCAATTTTTGTCTACCAATGAGGGGTGTTCGTGAGTCACGATGAGTTTTCTTAATATTACAATTGCAATATGAGGTTATTTATTCTTAAAATAATATTATATTGTTAATTCATATAGATGATGGGCATATTATAACTGTATTAATGCAAATTAAGTTAAATTTATTATATGTGAAATATAGTTTTTAGAAAGTAAAAAGCAAATGAATTATTGTGTAATTATATGTCAACAATGATTTATATTTTGGATTACTTCACATGATCTAAAAATTATTTAACTAGTGTGTCTAATATTTAATATCATTTGATATTTTACAAAATTGAGTACTAATTATCTAATAAAGATAATTAAACATTACAAGACAAGGAATTTTGATATAACTAGTATCCTAAGTCTTAATCAATGAGTTCTTCTATTGTTTATTTGTTTAAGTAATAATAAATTATTTTAGATGTTTCTGTAACACACGAGATTAATTTAAATGGATTAATAGTACTACTCATACCTGTAGGATCGGTCCCACAACCGGGAGGCAGACAATCGATATTGTCCGCTTTAGGTTGCCCCTCATAGATTTAAAACGCGTCAATAGTGGTGGAGAGCCTAGGCCTTATAAGGTATCAAGGACTCTCCTAGTCCACCGGTGTGGGATTCTTTGGCATTCCTACCGAAGAGGCGGATTTAAGAGTCGCGGGTTTGACCGGCTTGAGGGATCGAAAGGCCCATACCTAACAATCCCCCCCCCCCACACTGGTGCCGCCCCTAGCTCTGATACCATTTGTAAGATCGGTCCCACAGCCGGGAGGAACACTACCGATATTGTCCGCTTTGGGTTGCCCCTCACGGGTTTAAAACGCGTCAATAGTGGTGGAGATCCTAGGCCTTATAAGGTACCAAGGACTCTCCTAGCCCACCGGTGTGGGATTCTTTGGCATTCCTACCAAAGAGGCGGGTTTAAGAGTCGCGAGTTTGACCGGCTTGAGGGATCGAAAGGCCCATACCTAACAATACCAACAGAGATGCATCTCTTTTTAAGGGAGCTCATCACACAAGAACTCCAAAGTTAAGTGTGCTTGCACGGGTCGGGAGTAGTCTTGGGATAGGTGACCCCTTGGAAAGTTTCTCAGGGCGCGCATGAGTGAGGACAAAGTGCGCGGAAAAGGCTAGTGACGGTTTGTGATGAGGACAGTACTAGAGGTTTATAGTAACTACCTCGGGAGCTGCGGGGACGGGGTGTTACAGTTTCTTCTTTTTAAATCTCCTATAAAGTATTATATTATGTAAGGGTATATATTAATTTTGAAAACTAAAAGTTAAGGAGGGCGAACACATATATATATGTGTTGGGATTTTAGCTCCGGGTGAATGTTTTAAAATAAAGATACTTTAAAAAAAAGGGTTGAGCAAATTGAAAGTAAGATCGTTATTATTTTTGAGAAAATTTGCTGCAATTTATTATACAGTTAATTCATATTAATAGCCTTAAATTTTATCTTCAGTTACAATTTCAGACTTTCAAATTTGATCTCAGCCTTTCAGTTACAGATTTTATTTTTGTTGCCTAATCTCTCTCCCCATTCCTTCACCCCAGCTCTCTGGTTTTTCTCTATAAATTCAGGGGAGACTATCCTTCAAAAAGTGTGGTTTTGAGAAGTATTTTCTCTGTTATGTTCTAGGCTATATTCAAAAGAAAATTGAGCAGTATTGTGAAGGGTGTCTATAGAGCAATACACCAGTGCGAGTGTACTGTCTTTCAAGTTTCTAAGCGGCTGTTTTATCCTGGGGCCGTTGGGCCTAACAGTTGCACCACAATTCTGAGCAACTCCTGAAACGTCTTAAAGAAAGAGCAATCCTCGACTCAACCTATATTATTTGTTTGGTAATCTTGTTCCTGTTTCTTTCTGTTATCAAAGCTACATATTGTCCCAACAATTTTAAGACGTATCGACCAATATGTCATCTTTGATCTCTCCTGTTCTCGCTACTTCCCCGTCTGATCTTAATAAGACTTTTCGTGTTAGTCCCAATATCAATCAACAATCATACAAACAATAAAACGAGTACAGAAGAAACGATGATCCGATTCAATACCAATAAAGATGTCGAAATACAGAATAGGGTATGAACGACGTTTTTCTCACTTCTCACTAAAAATGATATCTGCGTTGAGGCTTATGTGTGAGTTAGGGTTTGCTTAAGTTAGCATCCTTTTATACATAAGGATGTCTAACTTAAGGCTTACAAGTGGGCTAATGGGCTAAAATACATTTGTGGCCCATATTACACATTTAGCTAATAACTACACAAATACAAATATATTTAATTGGATTGGACGCCATAAAATATTCCCAACAATCTCCCCTTTGGTGTTCAATCGTGTTCAATTAGCATTGCAGCGCAGATATCTTTGTCTTTGTGTTTATTCAGCAATGTAGAGGAGAGCATAGATAAATCTGTTGAGTTGCTCCTCTTTTGTCTTGATCTTCAGTGGAACTCAGCTTCCTTTGTCTTCGTGTTGAACTCGACTTATTTAGAGGGCTTTCTGAAGAAATCCTAGCAATCTCCCCTTTGATGTCTTCTTGGCAATTTGATCTTTGATGCCAGAGTTGAGGAATCTTCAGTGTCTTGCATGTAGTCCTTGCCTTCCAAAGGTTGGTCTTGATTAGCTTGGATTAAATCCGGTGGCGCGCCTCTAGAATGAATGTCCTTGAAGAATTGCAGATGCACATGGGATTCTGATTACCTGACCTCTGTCTCCTCCACAATGTAGCCTTTTTAACTATTTGAGGTGAATGCTTTCGAGGAGAACCAGTCAGTTGCACATCGGAAAATGATGATTGACTTGTGAGCGTAGCTGACCATTTGATGTGAAGCTGACTTGTCGTCGTTTTTTGTGTTGGAGGAGAAGTGTCCAAGAATGATTTTTTAGAGTAAACAGCATGCGGACCACTCTCCCCCTCATGACGATCCGATGAATTGGGGCGTCATGCCTTTATTCTTTTATTCTGTGAAACAAAATAGAAAAAACAAAAAAAGGTAAACACCGGAGACACCATGGTGTTCCGTTATCACAACATCAATGTAAACACTGACGTGTGGCCTGTATAAAATGATAGAAGCATTAAAGCTCTAACAGGACTTCCAACCAGTCATTGTGAGGCATCTAAAGTAGATGTCACTCTGGTTGTTATGGCATGATCATAACGATCAGCAAAGATAACGTAGCCCCCCGGGGTCGTGATGACGCCCGTTATCATCACTATAGAGATAAACTCTGAAGCGATGGCCTGAACATGTTGGTGAATTCTGTGTTGCAACAACATGACTTCCTTCCAATCATTGGTCTTCATCTATAGTAGATGATCCCTATGGAAGTTCTCGCGGGTCATGAAGACCTACAACTGACTCTAAATAGTGTCTGTGTCCTAGAAAATTCAAAAAAATTGGGAGTGAGATTACTAGACACAACGTGATCAATGAATGTTCAGTGGCGTGGGGATGTGGGCCACTGTAGTCAGTATCAGTCGCCTCAGAAGGAGACGGTGATTAGAGATGAGGTTCCCCGTGAAATATGATTAAACACATGTCTGTTGGGAGACATGCGAGTGGTCTTAGGTAGGGTTGTGCATGCGCCGTTTGGACAAAATGCAGCGACTTCTACCCGGGATCTGAATAAATTAATTCTTGAACCTATGGGGATTGTCCAGAGTATTTGAGTGACTGGGAGTAATTCTCTCGATTAATAGCACAATAGAGGTAACAGATTTGACATTGATTATTGTTCTCTTGCTCAGTTGAGCTTTTTGCTTCCTCACTCTCATAGTGTTCACTCAGCTACTCACTCACTCTCGGCTTTGTCCCTTGGGTAGGCTTAGTTGGGTTTACTAAGCCATTGGGACTTATCTCTCATTTCTCTTTTCCCTTTTCTCTCCGTGCTCCCCCTCAACTGG